GGGGCAGAAGGGGGGACGAGTAAAGGGGGGAAAAAAATGGAATGAGTTAAAGCCGCAGCGCCGGCTTTAATATTTAATCTCCTTCCATCAGCAGCTGACATACAGCAGTGTTATTGCAGCCGGCGATTTTGCGGGCGTCTGAATTAAAACGAAGACGTCGACTGGAAAAGGCTTTGGGGCGAGGGACGGGCGCTGGGATAACGGCAGAGTTGAAATAAAGAGGAGTTTCGACAGCCCCTCCGTTTCTGCTTTTCATCTCACAGGCATTTGGGGTTTGGGAGAACGCGGGGTTGATTTAACCCAAAGATTGCAATGGGGTTTTTTTTTGGAGAAAACAGATTGAAGGCAGCCTTAAGGGCGGCCGCTCCGCCTGCTTTACAAACCAGGCTGCGACAGCACGGGGAATAAACGCGCTGGTTTCAAATATCTTGATGGAATAGGACACACCACTTCCAGCTGGACCAACGCGCCATCCCCATTAGAGCAAGAGCCAGGGAATTAACGCAGTGGGCTGAAGCCTGGGTCTTTAGCAGGAGGAGATCTATTTTTTCCCCCTCCCTGGCTTTAATAAGCACATCAAGGGGTTGCTCAGGGTTTTCCCCCTTGCTTTTGTAAGAGCCACGGCCACGTTTGATGCGCAAGGAGTGGAAAAACGCGGGAGTTGCGCCGCGTTCAAGCTGCGGCTCTGCCGGCAGTGCCGGTTTTTTTAGCCTCGCCGGTCATTTTTCAGAGCACATCAACGCGCGGCGAGCCAGCTGCCCGGCCAAAATTCAGCGTTCGTACAGACGGGGCGGAGGCTGCAACGGCACAAACTGTTCCAGTTGTCAAAAGGAGCCTTTACCTTGCCCCAAGTGCAAGCCCTGGCAGAGCCTCATCAGACCTGAGTGGGGTGAGGAGCCAAACCTGGCTCCATCCAGCTCCTCACACGGCTGAATTACTAACTGTCATGAATATGGGGAAGCCGAATCGCTGCTCCAACCTTAATTCCAGCACAGCGGCGTGGTATTGTGCCCATGGATGCGATGGTGACAGGGCTGGAATACCTGGATACTGGGGGAGACAAAAGAAATCAGCACGGGTCTTGCAGCTGCAGCACTGAGCTGCACCAAGTGCTCTGGTGTGGATAAACCGAGCTCAAAATCCCTGATTTTAACAGAAACCACAACAGGTTTCACTCCCAAAGTCAATCTGGTTGCTGTGATGCCCTGCAGTGAGCAATCGTGGTGCAATCAGCCCAGGGCGATGGGTCTGGGGGATGTTTTGGGGTTTGCCTTCCTCTCCTGGTACCCCAAGGGGCACCCATTTGGGGATGGGGAGATGCTGCATGCGGAGAGCATCCACCTCCTTCAATTTGGGGACTGGGAAGACGCGGGGCCTCCCGTGAGCATCCCAGCCCAGCCAGCATCTGCGGTAAAGCCCGTGCCTACGCCCTTCCCCATCCATCTCACCGTGACAGGGCTCAGATGGGTTTCTGGAGAGATATTCCCCGTTCGCTCGGCGCAACCGCGGGGGTAACTAATGCGGGGTCACGGGTGCCCCCAAGGGCCGGGTGCCCAAAGGTTAGCTGTTACGGCTGTGAGTGATGTGACCCCCCCCCCCCCCCACCAGTTGTGGCGTAGATCTGGGCTCCATCTCACCCATTTCCCATCTGAGCAATGACAACGATAATTCCCTCCCTCGCAGAGAGGCTGTAAGGATTAATTTGCTAATGTGCATAAAGTGCCCCAATACCGGAGTGATTCATAGATTGGAAAGGCCGGGGGGGACCATTACAATTATCTGCCCGGGACCACGTGAATCCCCAGATGGGCCCATTTCCATAGGCGAGGAGGTGTCGCGAGACGAGGAGGCGCTAACGCCGCAAGGACTTGTTGGCTTGCAAGAATGCGGCCACGTCGTCTCGTTTCGGACGCTTACGAGAGACGGCGCGCAAAGGTTTCGGACCCGTTTCCTCTGGGAGGGTTCCTCGTAAGGCGGTGCTCACCGGGCC